CGAATAAGAACCGAATATTTTTAATTATTTTTTTAAATTGAGTAAATCAAATTATTTTAATTTTAATTTTTTCTAAACAAATTAACAAATTAATGATTTCTAAATCCAAATTTTTGGCCCAATAATTTGTTTCATTTCTAATTTTTTAATTACTGGCCCAATTACCCATTTTATTATTTCATTTCTTAGCCAAACAAGATCAAATCCACTAAATAACCCTAAACACCTACAATAAAGTGCATAACGTTGTCTCAACTCTCGCACTCACTCTCGCACTCTCGCTAATATTTCAAAACCTATACAATCGTCGACCGACACTCTGACCTCCAATCGAAGTTGTGACTTTTGTCGACTAAAACTTTGATCGTAGCGATCATTTGAACAAGGCAGTTTACTAATCTCTGATATTCCAAAACCATTGAATGTATTATTAGTCGTATTTATATAACCTTGTTATAAATGTTAAAAAATTTAATTATAGTACAGAACCGAACGGAACCGAACCGAATCGAACCGAATGGAACCGAACCCGAACGGTTCCATAATTATATTTGGACCTGACGGTTCCATTTACTAGATACCCGAAAAGTTCGGTTTGGTTCGGTTCTCTTTAGAACCGAACCGAACCGATCCGCGCCCACCCCTAATAAGAACCGAATCTTTTTAATTATTTTTTTATATTGAGTAAATCAAATTATTTTAATTTTAATTTTTTCTAAACAAATTAACAAATTAATGATTTCTAAATCCAAATTTTTGGCCCAATAATTTGTTTCATTTCTAATTTTTTAATTTTTGGCCCAATTACCAATTTTATTATTTCATTTCTTAGCCAAACAAGATCAAATCCACTAAATAACCCTAAACACCTACAATAAAGTGCATAACGTTGTCTCAACTCTCGCACTCACTCTCGCTAATGTTCCAAAACCTATACAATCGTCGGCCGACACTCTGACCTCCAATCGAAGTTGTGACTTTCGTCGACTGAAACTTTGATCGTAGCGATCATTTGAACAAGGCAGTTTACTAATCTCTGACATTCTAAAACCATTGAATGTATTATTAGTCGTATTTATATAACATTGTTATAAATGTTAAAAAATTTAATTATAGTACAGAACTGAACGGAACCGAACCCGAACGGTTCCATAATTATATTTGGACCCGACGGTTCCATTTACTAGATACCCGAAAAGTTCGGTTCGGTTCTAAAGAGAACCGAACCAAACCGACCCGGGCCCACCCCTACTTTGGGCCTTAAGCAGCTCTTAATCTAGAGATTGGAAAGGACAATTTATTTTTGGCTTCACTCATTCTCTTGGGGTAGCTACTAATTCCATGGCAGAAGCAATGGCTTTGAAATTGAGTTTGTGTTATTGCTATCTTTCGAGGGTTTCAAGGTATGGGTTGAAAATTATTTCCAAGTGGTTTCTCATTGATTTAAAGGGCCGGGTATTATTCCTTGGTCTCTTCAACAGGTTTGAGATGACATTGATGATCTTGCAGATTTCATTGATTTAAAAGTCACCCATGTTGTTAGAGAGGAGAATTCGGTTGTTGACTCGTTGTCTAAGATGGGTACAGTTGGACACTCTCAATTTTATACTTATATTAGAAACTTCACTAAGACTACAATAGGTCATTTTGTTTTAGATTCTAGTGGTTAATAATAATAATAATAATAATAATAATAATAATAATAATAATAATAATAATAATAATAATAATAATAATAATAATAAATCTAGGGAGTTCAACGCTCCAATCACCATTAGGGGTTCAGAGATTGACAAGGCATTGTGCGAGCATGGTACAAGTGTTAATCTAATGCTTGTTTTCGTCTTCAACCTTTCAAGATATGGTGAAACAACACCATCAAATATTACTCATTAGCTGGCAGACCGATTAATGTTACGAATGTGGAAAAATTTTTATTTTCCATTGACTTTGTAATTTTTGACCTGCCCAAAGATTCAAGGATGTCTATTATTTTGGACAAACCCCTTTTTAGCTTCTGATGCTCTTACTGGTGTGTCACAGGATCTATTAACGTTGATTGTACAGGATAAGAAAGAGTCCTTTTGTATTACTTGAAGTATTGAGACACGACCACATCCATATGGACGTGCTATCAAGTGAGACCTTAAAGAAATTCAAGAAAAGCTTTTTCAAGAGGTTTTGAGAGCTAATCCAATACTCGAAGTGAAAAATAAATGAGTTGTTGTTCATACAAATCTTACAAGCGTACAGGTTCGTTGCACAAGTAATAATCGTGATGAGAGAAATATCGTTCCACGGGGAGTAAGGCTTAATTCTAAAATAGTTGATATATTTAAATTCATAATTGTAACAAAGGATAGTTAGTTTGTATCTAACTACATTTTGTAACTACTAAAACAATAAAAATTGGTTTAAAATCAATTGTGGATGACTTATTGGATTTCCAACTCCACTAATCAACTCTTAGTTCCAATTCTCATCTAGTGATTAATAACTCAATTCATGCAATTGTAATATCAATAATTCCACATTTATTTACTATTCTTTTTCAAGATATCACCACGAAATGATCATATTTCTTGTCCGAATTCATATGACAAACATGCATTGACGTTAAGAATCATCATACATAATCTCACATGCCATAAATATTATTCCTAATATTTATTACCCGTGATTTCCATAAACAGTGTTTTACTTACCGTGAGTTTTCCAATACTACGAATAAATCACTTATTTCTCTAATGGTGCGCAAACATGAAAACAATATAATTGTACATGTTGATGGAATCAAAATGCAGGAATTAAGTTAAAAACACAAAGTTTCAAATTAAAAACTAAGAATTAAAGAGTTTTGTCACCCATCCAATACAAAGAAAATTAGCCTAGCATATTAATGTAAGAATTACAAATAAAAAGAACCCGAATCATTAAATAATGAATAAAATTTGGATTAAAGCCTTCAAATCTGGATCCAAGGATGAATTCTTCATTATCCGATGTAAATTCTCTCTATTTTCTCCCAAAATTTGTCTCTCTTTCTTCTGGACGCTCTCTTATTTATAGGATGCCGAGAGATTGCTTACCAAAATAAAATAAGGAAAGAGTTTTTATCTCATTTTACACAAAGGCGTGCCTATGTTGTTTTAGAGTACAATGGACAAAATTTTTCTTCGTTATAAATTTTCAATGTTGTCCACTACGCATGTCCATAACAAACGTGACATCCATGGATAACAGTTTGTACTTATGTCAACCGGATATATTGAAAAATATCAAAAGATATTCCTGCAAAAATTTGAACATTCTTCATTGAATCGCAAAATGTTCTAATTATTATTAAATTTGCAGCAGCTAAAACAAAATATAAAATGTTGTCACAACTGAGTTTTTCATTTTGCTTTCTACATGATTAGACTTAAACAAGCAAAATTCCTATAGTCTGTCATCCCTTCAAACATATATAGCTCAGATGCTGGTTGGCGGTTCAGGGGCTATAATGCATTTTTCAACAACGACGGGCAAATACACCTGGGATATAGGAAACCCTTCTCCCACGCAGCTTTTGGCAAATTGATTGACAGCTTGGCAGCACGAAGTGTCTAGTGGAAGTCCAAACACTGCTTTAAAAATGTTCACTGTGCAAGCTTCAAGACCTTTTAGAGATTCCAAGCAGGGCAAGAACTCTTCCATTTTTTGCACTGCCTCTGTCAGTGCGCCAACAGCGAAAAGTTGTGGTTGTGGTGCCTCCGTTACATAACTTGGCCTCGACATAACAGTCGTTGCCATGACCATAAACACCACCAAGACAACTTTAGATGCCATAATATTTAATAAATTTTTACTTTTTAAGAATGTTTATANAAAGAACCCGAATCATTAAACAATGAATAAAATTTGGATTAAAGCCTTCAAATCTGGATCCAAGGATGAATTCTTCATTATCCGATGTAAATTCTCTCTATTTTCTCCTAAAATTTGTCTCTCTTTGTTCTGGACGCTCTCTTATTTATAGGATGCCGAGAGATTGCTTACCAAAATAAAATAAGGAAAGAGTTTTTATCTCATTTTACACAAAGGCGTGCCTATGTTGTTTTAGAGTACAATGGACAAAATTTTTCTTCGTTATAAATTTTCAATGTTGTCCACTACGCATGTCCATAACAAACGTGACATCCATGGATAACAGTTTGTACTTATGTCAACCGGATATATTGAAAAATATCAAAAGATATTCCTGCAAAAATTTGAACATTCTTCATTGAATCGCAAAATGTTCTAATTATTATTAAATTTGCAGCAGCTAAAACAAAATATAAAATGTTGTCACAACTGAGTTTTTCATTTTGCTTTCTTCATGATTAGACTTAAACAAGCAAAATTCCTGTAGTCTGTCATCCCTTCAAACATATATAGCTCAGATGCTGGTTGGCGGTTCAGGGGCTATAATGCATTTTTCAACAACGACGGGCAAATACACCTGGGATATAGGAAACCCTTCTCCCACGCAGCTTTTGGCAAATTGATTGACAGCTTGGCAGCACGAAGTGTCTAGTGGAAGTCCAAACACTGCTTTAAAAATGTTCACTGTGCAAGCTTCAAGACCTTTTAGAGATTCCAAGCAGGGCAAGAACTCTTCCATTTTTTGCACTGCCTCTGTCAGTGCGCCAACAGCGGAAAGTTGTGGTTGTGGTGCCTCCGTTACATAACTTGGCCTCGACATAACAGACGTTGCCATGACCATAAACACCACCAAGACAACTTTAGATGCCATAATATTTAATAAATTTTTACTTTTTAAGAATGTTTATATACGGAAGTGCATGGAAATGCTTCCAAACTTGGGCCACTTATATATGAGATTTATAATAATTAAACGCATTTAGTCTCTATTTTAATCCTCTTAACGTTTTCTTGAATGTTCATTTATTTGTAGTATTAACCAAAGATATTCAATAGCCATCAATAGTTCTTTATTTTCAGTTCAAGTTTATAAATTATCGTTTCAAAATATATTTAGGAGTATGCAAGTCATGAGTTACATTCATTCTCAATTTCTCAAAGACAATAACACACGTCTTGAGGATCCATAATCCATTTATGTGTTGAGAGAACATAATGGAGACTGAAGAGCTTCTGAAATTAAATTCTACGCATGCTATCTTTTATGATCATTGTTGTAATGCGAATGCGACTACATGTGTGCACTGAACATGCGATGGATATATGTTTCAAGTTTTAGGCTTCTTGTGGGAGACACCGTCTTCAGGCTTGCGCTTCATATTCAAGAAGTGCTCAACCTGAAAGGAAAACAATTAAGCAGAAAATAACTAAAGAGAAATCAAGAAGCCGCAAAATCTTGTGAACAAGTTACCTTTTTATCTCCAAGCATGGGGGTCAAGCCTCCAGTGAAGTCCTTCTCGACAGTAGCAAATCCGCTTCTGGGATCACTAGTTTGCCTGAAACCATAAAATTCAGAAGCCAAGGGAGGTTACAATGAATTCAAAATAATGGCGTAGCTCATCTTAAAGAGATCTCCTGCATTAAGAACACATGGGAAATTTCCCCGTTCATAAAATGCAGCACTATAATTACGAGAAATTGACTCCTTTCCAGCAAATAACAAATGGTTTGGTTGGTGGAATTGATTACCAAGCACACACAAATGCACATGCAGAACAAAATGCAAGCACGACTTGCAAAACAACAAATAATTCTATGGCATTCAAATCTCATCATTTTTTCTTAATTATTTTTTTTAGCTTTATTCATTATTCCTTTGAAGATGTAACTCTTCTTATTTATCAAAACCTAGGGAGGACAGTGCACATTCATTGCAGCTTGGTTCATTATCAATACACCTGAGAAGACTTTGAAAACAAAAAGTTGACAGGACCAAATTGCCAATGCAAGTCATGAATGTAAGTGGGATCTTATTTTTTCCATTTTTAAGCCAGTGCACGTGCTATGCAGGGGGCTGATTGGCAATTCAGGGTTCAAGATTCCACTTCCTCATCAGATCAGAAAGGCAGCAGATATAAATGTACATTAAGAAAGAAAAAGTAGAGATCATACCCAGGTTTAACATGGCCACTGAGTACAAGATAGGGTGTCTTCAATTGAGCTTGAGCCTCCCTCATTCTCTCCACAGAAAGTGATGGTGTATCTGCATTTTTCATCTGCTTTATCTTCAGCTCCTCCTGATATTGCCGAATGCGCTTTTCTTGTTTCATTTTTCCAGGCCCTTTTCCATGGAATTTGTGTGAGAGCAGCCGAAAGGCTTCTTTTGGTGTCAACTGGTGCAGAGGAAACGGACCTCCATCAAAACTAAAATTTATCATTCTCATACTTCATTTAAATTTTAGTGCTATTAAGTGATTTGATGTTATGGATGACAGGATGAAATTCAACGAAAAAAAATCCTAAAACTCACCATTGGGTAAGGAGACAGTATCAAAATCTCTGAGCAAATTAGTTACAAAAATTTTTATTCTAGCAGAAGTCAAAATCTAACCTATTTATTTCCAATACTTCAACAAGGTACGAATATATTGAACTATAACAATTATACATCATGGTATTGTCTATTTCAAAAAGTAGGGCATACTGAAACATAATTTAACCAGTCATTCTAACTAGTAAAATTTTCCTCGCTAAAATGAAAATTGTCTCCAGCAAAACATTTTATCAAATATGGCAATATAGTCCTGCAGAATGACAACAGCGCTCTTTAATCAAAATGCCTTCAAGAAAAATTGCCAAGGAAGCCTAAAGTGTTGAAATGGACAAGAAACTCTATCAGTTTTGTCAAGTTTGACGAGAATACTGAGATGCTTCGAAAGTTGTGCAAAAAGGAAGAGAGAATGTCTAAATAGACTAGAAATCTTGTCAGCTTTGCATAGTTTGATGAGAATGTCTAGATGTTTCGAAAATCTGTAAAAAAAAGGGAGAGATAGTGTCTATATAGAACAAATTATTCTCATCTACTTTGTGTAGCTTGACAATAATGCCTAGATGCTTGGAATTCCTGTTAAAAGGAAGAGGGAGGATTTGGTTAACTGTTGAAGAGAGAAGGGTATATTCATGAAAAATTCAGAAAATGCACATTATTTAGAAACCAAAAGTAGTGGACACATATAATTTTCTCTGTAAAGGTGTCCTACAGAGGAATTTCCTCACAAAGCAGTAGTCCGTATATGATGAATTTACGCATCTAAAAAATGTTACGTACAAAAGATTAAATAAATTGAAGAGTAAATGACTCATGTAGTGAAGCCCACTTACAATTCGTCCATACTCATCTGTCCTCTCAATGCGTATTTCCTTCGCTTTATCGTTGTCATAAATGCCAACAAGTTTGCTTTTTTTCTTGTCCATATTTCGTCCACCCCATTCAACGGTTTCCTTGAGCGTTCCTCGATCTTTAAGAAGTTTGAGCGCCCCAGCTAGACCCTTTCCAACAGCAGATTCATGAATTGTTTCATCAGGAACAGCCTCCACTTCCGCCTCAGCAGAAGTCTCGTCTTTCATTGTCTCTTCCACCTCTGTCCATCTACCTTCATCATTTTTCTCCTGATCAGACGTGCTTGGAGCCACATCTTCATCCATAAAAACATCTTCACTCTCAGGTTTTTGTGCTTCTGCAATAGCAAAAATAATTAAATATTAGAAACACAAGAAAATGAAATGTAGAATTCCTCGCCATTTCAGCCAAACTAGAAGACTAGAGCTTAGAGAGTACTATATGGTGAATGGATATGACGATGTCTACTTGCCCAATGAGAATCCAAAGACAATAAAATATATAAAATGTTAATCTACCACATAAACTAACGTGAGAGATGCAAACAACAGAAAGAGAAAAAGGCATACAAGAGATGCACTCCGATACACCATACAACATATAAAATGTGAATCTACCACATAAACCGATGTGAGAGGTGCAAACAACAGAAAGAGAAAAAGGCATACAAGAGATTCCATCCGATACACCATAAAACATATAAAATGTGAATTTACCACATAAACTAAGATGTGAGAGGTGCAAACAACAGAAAGAGAAAAGGGCATACAAGAGATGTCATCCAATACACCCAACTCTTACAGTAGATGAAAGCAAAGACGTCCACTTGAAAGAATGTCAAATCAGGGGTATTTTATGACAGCCTAGTTTAACAAAAGGATTCAGAGCTACCATTTGCAGTTGTGTATATCTAGCATCCAAGAGAGGAATACAAAGCCACTGGGGTGTTTTTTAGTACAACATTTAATATTAGAGACATCAAGATCAAATAATACACCTCAACATTTTTTTATTTTTTTTATTTTTTATTGACGCTCACTACAATCAAAATGGTATTAAATTATAACCCGCTTCTCTGTAACCCCAACTCCCCCTCTTCTGCAAAAGAAATGTAATAGTTAATGCTAATAGAAAATCACAGGACTCTCAGAGATTACCTTCATCAAGCTGAAGACCCCAGACAAATTCTTCCATCTCCGTGAAGACAACCTTGTTCTCCTGTGGCTCTCCAGCCCCAGAATTTTGGTTGTCCACAGTTGAATTATTGGTACTGGAAGTAGCAAGTTGGGCTATCACCTTTGGACCAAATTTTTCTTTATCGTCTTGTTTTTTCAATGCTAATTTTCTCGCCCTTTCTAATGATTTCCAGAGCTCATCATCATCATCAAACACAGGAGCATCATCTTCTTCTGGCTTCACGGTATGTGTTTGTCCTTGTCGAAGTGCTTTAGATGCCTCGTCTGCTCTAGCATATGCAGACTGGTAAGCATTGCTTCTCATCTCAGCTTCAGATTTCTCTTGTTCCTCTCTGAGATTCCGCCTTCTGCCATCATTTCGTGAACCAAGATCCTCAGCACCCAATCCAGTAGATATAGCCTCTGCTTCAAGAGCGTCTAAGTCCATTTTCTCCTTCTTCCTCAAAGATTTCTTTTTCTTGGGTTTTTTAAATTTAAGCATTTCTTCTTCGGTATAATAATCTGTTGAGATCTTCCCAGTTGAATTCAGAACTTCAACAAGATTACTTGCAGAAACCCCCTGTAATCTTTTACGAAGCTGGCAATAGATGAAAGACTCGTGTCAATCAACATAATTCTAGTCGTTTTAATGGAAACGAGTAAAATACACATCAGCACAAATAACTTGCCTCTTCTAGTTTCTTTTCTGCTTCACCAGTAAACTGTCCACTTGCATCAAGAGTTATCCCCTAAAACAAGAATCAAGAAATAAACTCAAACATTCACAAAAAAGACAAGTTCATTCAAGCTAAAGTGATAACAAATGAACCTCATCAGCAACCGGATCATCATATTGGGGAAGCATTTTCTTCTCAGCACCGGGCTCATCATTAAACCTAATATTAAACCATGAGAAGGAGTTAACCATCTGAGCTTCATGATAGATTATTAAGAAATGCATGTAAAAAATCTTACTTGTCATCATAAATCCCAATTTTCTTCTTTGCAGCCTTATAAGCTTCATTCCTCCGCTTTTGCTCTCCCATTTCCACATTTTCAAGCATATCAATCTCTGCCATACGCAATGTAATGTCACCTTAGGAAATTTGAGTCCAGAAAATATCCAGAAGAAAAAAAAAAAAAACAACCAACTAGGAGAGTAAAAAAGCTGAGAAGGGAAAGGAAAACAACATCAACAAGTTACCTTGATTGATATCACCGTCAGCAAGTATACTCTGATCTTTGAGTGTCAATACAACAGCTCCACCTTCAAGTACTTTGTCAAGCCCATGAAGAATTTTGACCCCACCTAGGTTTTCAGCTAACAGACGGTGAAGTTGAAACTTCAGTCCAATTTGATGTAAATTCTAAACACAAGCCAGTTAAAAAAGTGAAACTCAATTGATCTTTCCCCCAATGGAATTTTAATTATTTCAGCGCTCAAGAATTCTCACAGACATACATATCTATTCCCATATCAAATACACAAATTTCAAACAAATATAAAAATTATATAGCTATATACTGTCAAAATCATAAATAGGTGTCCACATGGATAATAGATTAATCCAATAAATTACATTCAGAAGAAATAATTGCAGCTAACACTTTCTAAAATCAAGAATTAGCTGGATGAAAATCTATGTCATCAAACGTATGCTGAAATATAATGCAAAACATTATGAAATGGTTTCTAATATAATTGTTAGCATGTGTGCATGGCTTAAAAAGGGAACATACCAGTGAAATGTTGTGGTGCTGCCTCTTCATCACTTTCTCCTTCATTGACATTATCCTGCCGCATGTAAGAATAAGAAAAATTAGAACATAATTTTTAACAAAACTCATCAACATTACATCAAATAGTCAAATAATAAATTTATCTCCTTTTAGGTATTAAATAAAAATAAACACTAAATTTAAGACGAAAAAACCTGCTCCTCAAATATTTTTGACAGCTGCAAGGCTTTCTCTTTTTCAGCATTTCTTTTCTCTTCAAGCTTTCTGCTCTTGTCTACCCATGCTAAAACCTCGGAACCACCTTCTGACTTATTCTTCAATCTTTCTTCCCTTATTCTGCAACAAAATGTAATTAGTGATGCTGACCCGCAACAAAACATCAGAAGACCTATTATTGGATGCATATTGTTCACAAATTGAAAGCTAATTCTGATTAATTTTATTCCTTTTGGATTAAAGTTGGAGCAATACCATTTATATTTAAATATGTTCCACTAAGAAAAGGTACAGTACAACCTCTCTATGCCTTCATATTGGTAAACCCATTGCAATCTTTACAATATTAGATGTAAATTGTTGAAGTGGAAATGAAATAGCATTTGCTTAAATGCAGTATTTTTCTAATTTTTGACAGAAAAATCATTGTTCTATATCAGAAAGTAGTCAAAATACTGATCATACAGCATATTTTTAAACAAATTAGAAAGTTAAATAAGTTTTTGCATAAAGATAGTCATGGAAATTTTAATCATTCATACAATATTAAATAATAAATAAACAATATTTCCATTTATGAGGGATGGGATTGCATATTAAGAATTTAAAAATTATGCAGTAGAAATTTACTCACTTTAAAATGCGGTCCTCCAACTCAGATGCTGGTTGGAGAGATCTAGCATCTTCAGCCTCGGCACTTTGTTTAGTCTTGAGAGCTCTGGAGTTGCCCTCATCAAAATAATCCATTCCCTCCTGAGTGATATGCTCATCATGAGAATAATTAGTTTCTAATCTTGAGTTATCATCCTTTTCCAAATCCTTTCTCCGATCATGACTCTCATCCTTGTGTTTCCGACTACCTCTATCTCTATCCCTTGTCCTTCCCTTGTCCTGCTTTTCCTTCTCCCTAGTTCTCTCCTTCCCCTTCTCTCTCTCAACTGCTTCTTTACCCATGTCCCTGTCATTTTCCCTATCCCTCTCCCTTTCCTTATTTTTGTGCTTTTCTCGCTCCCTCTCTTTTGTCCTTTCCCTATATTTAACCTTTTCTCTGCTCTTATCTTTTACACCCTCTTTATCTCGTCCTCTCTCACCGTCCTTCTCCAATACTTTCTCCATCTCCTTGTCCTTCCCCCGGTCCTTACGGTCTTTATCTCTCTCTTTGTCCCCATTCTTGTCGCAATCAGTATCCTTCTCCCGTACCTTGTCCCGTGTCTTGTCCTTTCCCCGCTCATCTCTGTCATCCTTCCTTCTATCCCTACTGGATACTCTCTCTTTCTCTGTATCTTTGCTCTCTTTCTCTGTTTCCTTCAAAATCTCACTCTTAGACTTTTCACGATCTCTAATCCTATGCTCTTTATCCTCCTTCCGACCACTGCTTTTGCTCTTATCTTTGCTTCGATACTTGCCTGACTCTCTCTTAGTTCATCAGACACATTTTCTTCCATATCATCGTATCCACCACCCCACCTCTCTCTCATAGATTGATCATCTTGATCCCTCATCTCAATGCTTCTTTCACGCCTTGAATCTGCAAAATCTACCCCCATCGCTTGAACGGTACAATCTACCTATGAAATCTGAAAGAAAGGGAAAATATAAGAGCTAACATTTAAAACATAATAACGCAACCATATGAAGAAAAAGTAACCACTCGTGTTAAAGTTTAAACTCTTCAGTAGCATTCTAGACCCAGGCCGGTCCTGTGATTGTCGGGGCCTGAGGTAAAATCAGTAAATTAGGCCCCCGGCAAAATAAACGTAAATGTAAAATTCAACGGTGTATTATGCAACCCATTGCTAACTTAAAAAACTAAAAAAATTACAAAATATCTCAATTATCTTACAATTAGAGTTTTCAATATAGTTATTATGTGCGCCTGTGCAATTGTTGATCCTACAATAATCAACCATATAAGCCGACTAGACCACAATTATATAAGCCGACAAAACTTCAAACATTTTCAATCTCTTCAATAACAAGTTAGGACAAATCATTGCTTACCTGAAAAGTAGAATTTCAACGAAAACTGTGAAGTTACACTTTCGAGAATTCCACTGTCACAACTCACAAGTCTGAAACAAAAATTCAACATCAAACGCTAATACAAATATGAACATAATCATCAAACTTAGGGAAATAACAATTGCACATGCGCACATTTAATCAAACTTGGGGAAATAACATATTTAATAAGAACTAATCACCAATTCACCATTAAAACAGTGTCATCAACAAAATAAATTAATTCAAATTAGTATACTGGTTAGAGAAACTGAAATTATCTTTTCTTGAGTTCATTGACATAATAATATCTCAAGTTCTCAAATGTGTATTCTCACACCTCACCGATCATTCTATCAAACTAAGTTATCAAAATTAACTATAAACTGTTTTACACATGATAGAAGATAGCATTAGGAATCAAAATTCTAACGGTCACCTTCAGTTTTAACTACCCAGAATTTTCTTGAAATTCTTGCATAACTGGATAGACCTCATCAAGGAACCTCTCTCATGTCTGCATTTTCAAGAAAGTAAACCTTACACTATGCATATTATCTATATAATACATACAGAAAAATTTTTATTTTTCTTCTAGAATTCTTGGAAACGAAACTTAAATAATTAAATTCATTAATTTCCTATAACTACTCTCCCATTTCAATTTGCGATGAACCCTCTTCAAAGTTTAACACTCAACATTTCGTCAGCCGTTCCGTTCCCTTTCCCTTCCCAACTCTTTCCAAGGACTTCTCTGAAATTCAAGAAAACTTCAAAACAAGAAGAAAAATCCTCATAATGGACGAGACGACGAGTCACGCACTCACGTCTCCTGACTCTCTCCAATTAGAGTATACCCACGGTCCACATAGAATTGAAAAAGACCATTTATCAATTAAAATCAAGCCATCAAAGATTCAAAATTATAGTAAGTAAATGGTAAAAGAGTTGAACTCACCAGGGAACTCGAAGTCTCGAACTCACTCGTTCGACAACAAAAATGCCCAGCCACTCGCAGAAGCGATATGTCAGATGAAGCCCAGGTACAAAGAATGTTTGAAAAATCCGCGAAGAGGAAATATGGGATTCTGGAAGACTGGAGCAAGTCGAGAGAGACGAGACAAGCCGTTGGGAAAAATGGGATTTTCAATTTGGGAATTTTCAATTTTGGGTAAATAGATAATGGATATATAAGTTGGGTTGGCCATTTCGGTAAATGGATCAAGAATAAGGGAGTTGGATTTGGGCTGTCATTGTTCAAATAAAAAAAATTGGGTCAGAAAATGAGGCCCCCTAGAGTTTGGGCTTGAGGCGCAGGCCTGCTTGACCTCTGGACCGGCTCTATCAGGACCTATGATGCTCGGATTCAAGTACAAGTATCGGATATGAGTATATATCTAAATATCAAATCTTTTATTTTCTAAATTGTAAGATACTGAAATATGATTAAAAAGAGTCCAAATTTCGGACACGGGTACGTGATACGTCTTTGTATGTCATTCAAGTTTCGATTTTTTTTAATTATTTCAAGATGTCATTTTGAATAAATTAAAATTAATTGTTTACAAAGAAGGAAATTGACATTGAATAAAAGGTTAAAACGAACAAAATAAAATTTTGAGGCTTAGTTTTCAATTATAGGAAGTTAATTATTAAATATTATATAAAATAATGAATTTGATTGCAATTTGGACTTAGTGGAGCAGTAAGTAGCATTATATGGAGCCCATTTTTATTTTGTACAAACAAAACCCCAAACCAAATAGGAAAAAGGAAGAAAAGGGAATGCTAAACTAGATCGAATTGAATTGAACATTGCTAAGAAAAACATTCCCATAAAATATTGTCCATTCAAATGCTCGTCATATAAATCAATATATGTTCAAATATCTTTTAAAGTAATAAAATAGAGGCATGTATCTTTCGGACCGAGAAAAAGGGGGTTGGGTTTACATCCTAAAATAGTCAAATTGTGTATTAAATTAAAAACTATTCGTAGACGTTGGAAAATATTTATAATGGAATATAGAGTATGTAATTATAAGACAAATACATAAAAAGTGAGTCACCACTTCCTTAGAGAAGAAAACTTTGTGCAGCCCTTTACTTGGATTCGAAGACGACAAGGAAAGTCATTCCATAACCCTTTTTCATTTAAAATAAATAAATAAATAATAATAATAATAAATGTGATGTTGATTTTATTAATGATGTAAGTAAAATAGTGCCAAATACAGGAGGAGATTTAGGTATAACATCCAAATAAAGACCAAAAAAAGATATTAGAATTTACCTGTGCGAAGATGGGGAGAACAAGAAAATCGAAGACGTACAAAATTATATCTAGTCCAAAGTATATGATTGCCTCCCATGATTTGAAGTAAATTACTTATAACCTGCAACTTAACGTAATTTTTCTTAACGTGTCATTTTCTCTTACAGTAGAAGCAATACAAATTGCTAAAGTTCACCCTCGATCGACTCCTCCGTCGATCACCAAGAGATACTAGAGTTTCCTCATCCCTAGATGTAGCTCAAACCAGATGATTCATCTTCTCCTTAGTGAATAAAGTATCGTAAGCGTCTTCAATGGTAAACGTGTCACGACTGTACAATATTATGTCCCGAAACGACGAGTATGAAGGGAGTAGCGAATACAATAGGATCAAGGCCAGATCTTCCTCATTATATTTGACCTCCAATTTTTTCAAATCTGCGATGATTTTCTTGAACACCGTCAGGTGGTATTCCAACGATCCTCCTTCTACCATGCGATGGGAATATAGCCTCTGCTTTAGATACAATTTGCTCGTAAGACTTTTGGTCATGCACAATTGTTCCAGTTTCAACTACAAAATAGCCGTCCTTTTCTCCTTCAATACCTCCTGCAAGACGTTATTAGAGAGGTGAAGATGAATCGACAATAGAGCCTTCCCGTCTTTCCATTGTTTCTCCTCCGTTGTCCAATTTGCTAGCATCTTATCAAAACCTGGCAAAGTATCATCTAAATCCATCTGCACCAACATAGCCCTCATATTTACTTACCACAGCAAAAATTGTGTGTTACGATCCAGCAGCGAAATATCATATTTCAATGTTGTCATCTCTAAAAAAAATTTCAACCAAATCACAAGGAACCTGTAGCCTAGCTTTAATACCACTTGTTAGGAACTAGCAAGTTACCAAAATTACTCTGATACCACTTGTTGGACCTGGAGGTGATGCAAGAATTGAGATTAATAAACAATATAAAATATGTATGATCACAGCGAAGAAAACAAGATTAAAGTAAAGCAATTGTTGAGAAATTAACATAGAAATCAATATTTTATTCAAAACAATATAGAGAGAATATAAGGAATTGAGCAATAATGCTTGACTTAAATTGAATGAAGAACTACATATTTATAGGGTCATACTAAACCCTAAAAATATTGTAAAGATGAGAATAATATAAAAATAATGTGGAATGAAGGAAATAATATTTTCCAATTAAATCACGTGAAAATAAAGAAACAATATTTTTCAAAAAATTCACCATAATTTGGGGCACAAAATCTAACAGTTGTGTCTCAATATTTCGAGAAGTACAAAGTAACTCTTTCTCATCCTACACCATCAACGTCAATAAACCCCGTGACACATTAATAAGAGGGTTTATTGAAATGCCAATAAATCCCCTTGTTAGAGAGGTCGGCCCAAAATAATAGGCATTCCTCAATCCTTGGGCATGTCTTGGGCATATTAGCAACCTGGGGTTTTGATACTCAATCAAAGTGAACGATGATGTAAATCGATATCGAATAATCAACACCATAGTGCTTGGATCAATCCAGAAACAATCAATTCACTTAGGATGTCCCATCAGTGAGTTAGCCCATTTGTTGTTTAGGTTTGGATTGTGATATATGAGTTGGCCACTTTATGCGGTTTTGTCTTTAGTCTATTTGGTAACTTGGCCCAATTGGAGGGGACCTAATTGGCTTAGCTATGTATCCATTTCCTTCTTCATTTGATAGCCATGTGTTAATGTGGCATTGTGGAGAGAAAATTTGAGGCAGCCGACTTGGGGGAAATGTGAGTTCAACCATTGCTTCTTCTATCATGCCCTTCCTTTGTAGGTGCACATTAATCACCATAGTGCTATCCTTTGTGGGTGTTGGATAGAGGGAAACTAAGTGCAAAGTTGTGGGTCAAGCGTCGTAGCCTCGGTTGGTATTCATTTTGATGGTTTTTCTGATTCCGGATTCAAAATTCCTCGGAGTTTCTGTTAACAACAACTGCAAAGTCATTGGGAAAAAAATTTCCCAACTTTCATCATTAGATCTTCCATCAGCCCTCTGGCTTTTTCATTCATTGGTATGTCAACTAAATAGTAATATTTGATGGCGTTGCTTCACCAAGTCCCAAACGCTTGAAGATGGAAAGAGGCATGTGCTCTTGAGTCAACCTACTGTCTATTTTCGTTGTCCATCAAATTAATTCATGAAATGTCATCAATAATTATATATTATCTCATATTTATCTTCTTTAACTTCACTACTAACCATTAAATTGACGATGTGTCAAGAATTAATTGGATGGACAACAAATCTCAACTTTATTCTCTTCACCATCCCATTGGTCTTTACGCCCTGTATTTGGACGGAAACTCGTAGACATTTTGGCTCATCCAAAAAAGAATTGCTCAGATTTTTACTCGGTTTGGAAAGCATGATAATTGGAACAAGTTCCTACGTAAACTCTAACTCTAGTGCTTTCTTGAGCCAATAGTCTGAACACAATTTTCTACCAAGATCGTATCTACGTGATTTAATTCCCTTTTTTAAATAGAAAAATTCAACTATCTTCTAATGGACAAAGTGAAAATTGATCCTACTAACGTTTCATTTAAAAAGTTTTGCTCTTGGTCAAAAGACTAAGCTATCTTTATTCAAAGTAATCATAAATATGCTCTTTGCACTTGCCTATCTTTATGAGATCGACGAGTTCACGCTCAAGTACACCTTAACGAGTACACTATGCACTATTTCCTCCTGTCCTTTGTCAATAATATATNTCATTGGTATGTCAACTAAATAGTAATATTTGATGGCGTTGCTTCACCAAGTCCCAAACGCTTGAAGATGGAAAGAGGCATGTACTCTCGAGTCAACCTACTGTCTATTTTCGTTGTCCATCAAATTAATTCTTGACATTTCATAAATAATTATATATTATCTCATATTTACTTTCATTAACTTCACTACTAACCATTAAATTGATGATGTATCAAAAATTAATTGGATGGACAACAACATTAGATAACAAATCTCAACTCTATTCTCTTGACCATCCCATTGTTCTTTACGCCCCTATCGTTGGATGGAAACTCAGAGACATTTTGGCTCGTCCAAAAAAGAATTGCCCAGATTTTAACTCGATTGGGAATGCATGATAATTGGAACAAGTTCCTACGTAAACTCTAAATCTAGTGCTTTCTTGAGCCAATATAGTCTGAACACAATTTTCTGCCACTAAGATCGCATCTACGTCATTTAATTCCCTTTTTAAATAGGAAATTTTTCAAAATAACTATCTTCTAATGGACAAAGTGTAAAATGACCCAAATAACGTTTCATTTAAAAAGTTTTGCTCTTGGTCAAAAGAATAAGCTTTCTTTATTCAAATTAATCATAAATATGCTCTTTGCACTTGCCTATCTTCATGAGATCGACGAGTTCACGCTCAAGTACACCTTAACGAGTACACTATGCACTATTTCCTCCTGTCCTTTGTCAATAATATATTGACAATGACAACAAAGATAATTCACTTTTACTAATTTTTATTTATCTGCACAAGTATTTTTCTTGTTATTTTGCACGGTTAGCATGTTCGAAAGTCTGTTTCAGTCTAAAGATAATTTTCTTTTCAAAATAACTAAAATCAACGAAGCCCGTAAAAGCATGCGAGAGGGATTTCAAAAAGTTGGGATATAATACACTAACTTTTAAAAGAGCGGCTTTCAGTGATTGAGTCGAAGTACAAAATGTTGTAAATTAGTTCGTAGATAACATAGAAAACAAACTTCCATATCAAAAGTCTACAAATTCATGATATCACTAAATATATATATATTCATGGTAATAATCATTCTAAACATT